ATTTGTGTGGATTAACCAGCAGATTTACCCCCGTGTGATAACATCCTAAGGCAAACCTATCATGGTGTTTTCTTGGCAAGATTTGTTCAGTGGCAGTTTGCCATTGCCTTCCCCTGAGGCTGAGAGTGTGTGACTTGCCCAACATCACCCAGTGGGTTTCATGGCTGAGGTGGGAATTGAACCCTGGCCTCCAGAATCATAGTCCAACACTTAAACCACTATAGCACACTACATGTGGTTGGTACTTGATGTATAATGCCTAATAACTTCACCAGGAGTTGTCCCTAGGTCTCAGGTTTTGGCTTGGAAATCTCAAAGCCTGGGGTGATCCTGAACTAGTGGCAACCCTATTCAGGAGCTTGAGAGCACCTAGCAAGTACTGGCCAAATACCTTCTCCTTAGCCATTTCAGAGGTTCAGTGGGTTCATGGGTTCAAGCAATTACAACTGGGTTGGTGCTTTGTTTTCCCTATGGAGGGATTGTACTGAGGTGCGGAATTGCTGTAGGGGAATGGGTGTGTAAACTATGAAATCTGACCTGCCAGGACTATAGGATAAGGGTACATGCCTGGAAAAGAGATATTTAATCTCTCTCTCTCTCTCTTTTTTTCTTTTGTTGCATCTTGGGAGGTGGGGAGAATTAAATGTCTTACTGGTCTTGGAAAACTTTTGTTTAGATTGCTTTTTCCATTAGACCATAAACAGGTTTGGAGGGGAACAAAGGGATTTGCAGAGGCAGGCAAGCAGGCTTGGTGGATAAACAAGGCAAGACTGAGATGGGAGAAGGAGAAGGGTGAAAAGGCTTAGGAAAGGGACTAGACTGAGAGACACAGCAGTGGTGCTTACAATGAACTATGAACATACCACTCACCTGGAACCTTTGCAAAATATAATTATAGCACTATAATTCCACTATAACTGCCATGGCAACCTCTTATAGGATTGTGGAGTTTACAGTTCATTGAGGCCCTAGAGCTCTCTGATGGAGAATTCGAAATACCCCTCCCTAAACTACAAATCAGAGACAATGTGGCATAGTGGTTTGAGCATTGGACTATGACTCTGCAGACCAGAGTTTGAATCCCGGCTCAGTCATGTAAACACACTAGATGATCTTGGGCAAGTTACATGCTCTCAGCCTCAGAGGAAGGCAATGGTAAGACTTCTCTGGACAATTCTTGCCAAGAAAACCCCATGATAGAGTCACTGTAAGTTGGAAACAACTTGATGGCACACAACAGCAGCAGCAGCAGCAATGAGAAACTACAAATTCCAGGATTCCTCTGTGTGTGTGCGCGCGTGTGTTTTCAAGTGGCCTGTCAACTTGTGGTGACCCAATTCATTCATAGGCAAGGCAAAGATTACTCAGAAGTGGGTGGCTTTACCAATTCCTTCCTCTGAAATATTAGTCTACACCTCCTGGGATTCATTCGTGCTCTCCCATCTAAGAACTAACCAGAGCTGACCCTGCTTAGCTTCCAAGATCAGAGAGGATCTGTACAGATTCGTAAAGAGTGGCGATGCTTTAGTTTGTTTTGGCAGGAGGGTTTTTAATTTCTCACTCTTCAACATCCCTTGAAGACAAAGATTTTCCTATTTTCGGACATAAGAAGTTTCAGCCAAAGTTCTTGGATGTGCTTGGGTCCCATTAAAAATATATGTCTGCATGTACAGTAATTACCAGTGAACAGGTCCTGGTGTTGTCTCCTACGCCTCCAGTTGTGCCAACCTGCCCTGCTTAAAATAGCAAATTAATTTATATTACACTTGTCCAAGCATCCAGTGTTCAGGTGTAGAAAGCCACACTGATTTCGCAAGAGGCAAAGCTCCTCTGGCTCAGGTGGGGCTTGAGTTTCGATGATCCCCATGGGGCAGTTGGCTTGGTGATGTGTGGTTTTAGACATGTATGTCTGTATACAAAAGCATGGCAGGGGGAAGAGTCCTACCGTCTAGGATCACACATCCCTTCTTGGGTTTATCACTGAAAGTGAGCTGATGAATTGGGAAGACATTTCCATTTCATGCTCTGAGACTAGAGGAAACCAACACCAATTTGTCCTCTCTGGTGTTTTGTGAGCTCGGTGAGTAAAAAGGTAGATTGAGGTTGATCTTTGAAGACTCAGGTCTAGGCTGTTTGGAGGACCATATCTCCCTCTATGAACTTCTTCAACCTTTAAGATCTTCAGGAGATCTTATTGTACAGTCAGCCCTCTGTATCCACAGATTTTTTTATTCATGGATTCAAGCATCCACAGCTTGAAAATAATCAAAAGTTATACAAATTCCAAAAAGCCAATCTTGATTTTGCCATTTTATATAAGGGACATCATTTTGCTATGCCATTATAATTAATGGGGCCTGAGCTTCCACGGATTTTGGTATCTATGGGGAGCTCTAGAACCAACCTCCAGTGGATACCAAGGGCCCACTGTATTAATATTCTAGGAAAAGCGTAACCCACTGAATCTGTACATCCCTTAGAGCAGGGGTGGAAAGCCTGTGACCAGTGGCATCATTAGGGTTGGTGTCACCCCAGTGTGGTGGTAACTCATGCTGTCACACACACACATACAGCCCACCAGGCTATCTGGCTGGCACATCTCCTAACCACCACCTTCCACCAGCCAAGTCAGCTGTGCCATGGTGGGGATGCAGTGCTATTGCCACCTGGAAGCCCATTCCAGGTCTGGCTTGGCTTCTGGGAAGCAAGAAAGGGAGCCATTGGCCTTTATCACTCACCCAGCAGCCATGCCAGTCCCAGAAGGGGCTGCTGGGTGACAGCAGTACCCCAACTCTATCAGCAGGTGCAGCTGATGGGCATCAGAGGTACTCTGGTTGCAGGGGGGCATCTGGAGGGGGAGAGATCTTGTAACAGATGGGAGCGACCATCCCACCAGGTGTTCACATCCCCTCTGAGATGTCACCCAGTGAGGTCCACATACCCCACACACCCCTAATGATTCTCCTGCCTGTGACCTGCCAGGGGCTGTTCAGCTTCATAGGCATTCACTGCTACAGCCAGTGGGAGTGTATGGA